ACATATACATACACTATACACAGATATGCATTTTTACAAACATATGTATGTATGTATTGTATATGTATGTATTACACACATGGCTTTGCTTTGACCGTCATACTCGTCGGTACGTGCCGCTTCGTGCATATGTTGCTTACTGCACATTACTTGCAGTCTGCCATAAGCCGGTATGTGTGCCAGTTTGTGTAGGTTTGGGCATTGTTGTCCGGATGCTGTTGCTTCAGCTGCTCAACTCTCACAATTGCTTCGATTACTTTACTTTGGCTGTTTCCTTGGCTTTTTTTTCGTTGCTGAAGTTCTTCCATTGCTGTGCAATTACGCACATAAATGTTCAAAAATATACAAGTTTCTAGGTATACACATACATATATGTAACTGCACCTATGTATTCGTGCCTGTAATACGCATAACAATGTAAAGTAATTGTAAGCTTTGTCGGCCGCTCGATATTTTTCGATAATCACTGCTTGTACTGTGGTTCTAACTATGCGTATATGTATGTATATACAAACTTACATATGTATATATATTTGTTTTAGGATTGAAATTAGTAAATTTTAGTTACAGATCATTATATGGCAGTTCAATTCTGAGAGTAGATTTTTTAAAGATGTTTCTCAGAAGTTTTATTAAAATTAAAAAAAAAAATTTAAATAAAAACATTTCTTCAAAATGTTTTCTAACACACTATCCATCAAATAGTAACAGCAATTTGAATTTAACACCCCTATTGTGGAAGGCTACTGCATTATAGTTGCCATTATTCTTGAGCTGTATACTGTAACTAAATTTTAGTATGCCGAAGGCTACTAAAGCCAGTGTACAACGCAGAGTTTATATTTCTGGGAAGCGCTGATCAAAAAGATCCGACGTCAGCCGAAAGCCTTTGATGCTAGCGCTGCGTACTTTAGTTTATTTAATAATTTGTTTATTATGTAAGCTTTAATAAAATAAAATAAAAAATAAAAAAAATATCCGACGTTTTCGAGAAAATTTTGTTCGGCTATGAGGCCTTTTCCTGGCTCAATGTGTACGAGCAAAATTGCCGCATTTAGGACGAAAAACAAACTGAAGAGATTCAAGAGCTGCCATTTAATCTACAAAAAAAAAAACAACAATTGGTGTAGTTTGTGGGCTGTTAGAATCATCGGTCTATATATCTTCAAAAATGAGGTCAGTGAAAATGTAACCAACGGCGACTGTTATCGCGCTATGATAACCACAAATTTTATGTCTGAAATTGAGACTTGTGATCTCGGCGAAATTTGATTTCAATAAGACGTTGCCACTTCCCACACATCGCATCTATCAAATGGAATTATTGAGAGAACACTTCGGTGAACAGATGATTTCACATTTTGGGTCGGTCGATTGGCCACCAAAATTATTCTGTGGAGATATGTAAAGTCTGAAGTTTATGTGGGCAATCAATCTTCGATTCAGGCCTTGGAGCAAAACATCACGTCATTATGTCAATCGCCAGTTACCAGTCGACATGTTCGAACGAGTGAGACGTAGCCGCGGCTAACATTTGAAAGAGATAATAGATCATATTCAAAAAAATAATTGTCAAAGAATGTTCTTTCGAATAGTAACAAACCTTCCCCATTATTACATTAAAAATTAAATGTCTATGCTATTCAACGCTATAAAAATAAGTCGTTTATTCGTCGGTTTGAGACTGGTGATGAAAAACGAATATATTGCGACAAATCTACATGCAAAAAGACATACGTATGTAACACCATGCAACTAGACCAAAGAACCACAAATAATATCCATTATGCCAAGATCACGTTCAGTATGCTGAAACCGGTTAAAGTCAGTAGAAAAAACAAGATATCTTCTTGATGACATAATTTCACTCAATCTTGATCAGCGAGCGTGCTATTGCATTCAGGTTAAGAAGAGGATTGAGTGTGTTATTACTGCGGAATGACTGGATTTGCGATGGTGATGTGGAGCAGGAGAGATATAAAGGGAGCAGAAGGCTTCTAAATTATAGGGTTAGATGTAGGTGTCAAAGGACAATAGTCCTAACGGTCGAGTGACTTACGAGTACATAAGCGACGTTAGGTTTGTTGAGGGTAATCCAGACTTCAGATTCTGTCTGGGTTTTCTGCTTACGGAGCATGCAATTGTGCATCAAAGGCAAATATTTGATCGGGGTGCTTTTGTGGGGCGCAAGTTGAAGATTGGGTACCTATAATTGCAGAATGCTGGATGTATTTGGATATTAGGGGTCTGGGTGGTATAGGAATTAGCTGAGTATTGGACGTTTAGATGTTAGTGGTGTCATCTCCACTAATCGGAATGCCGAAAACATTTAACTGGGATTTAGGATTAGCTTCTTATGTGAATGGTCTGTGCGTGTATTGTGTGCAAGTGGTCCAACCCCTGGTCCCCTGTCCAGAGCAGTATGGAAACTCATCTGGTAGTAGTTTCGGCTACGAGGTTCGACCGGTACTACGGGGACCAGAAGTTCTTGGAGTTCACTCGAACCTGCTACCGCGGACTGGCCCTTTGAGGAGTATCGTGGTGGTTGGGGGTAAATCCCGCATATGGGTAGAGCCTACATTGTTCAATGTGGAGTTGCAATGTAACCAGAAACCGGACCCAAGGTACGGTAAAGGTTTTATATGGGCCTCGAACACTATTAAGAATTAGTATGTCTATTCCACACTACCAATTGGTACTGAAAACGAAAAAAATCTGAACATGATGATGATATCTAATAATGGTAAGGAGATAACAGATGTATTAACTATCAAGGATTGCCGTACTATTATTAGAGAGATAATTTCAGTTAAGTTCTATAAAAGATATTAAGCTTGATGGATCAATTCAAAGAAATCATGAGTTTAGTGCGACAATACTTGGATTCCTGACAAAATTGTATATTTTTAGAACACACTATATCTTTTTAATTTATTTATATATAATATAATAAAAAAATATATATTTAATAAAAACTCAAATTTCCATTTAGTTAAATCCGCCAGTTTATTGCCTTGCCACACAGTTGAAAAACAGCTTGCTCGCCACTGCCGCCAATAGCACTTCCGGTTTGTTTCGCGCTGTCTACAATATTGAAGTGCAAAAGTTTACAAAGACAATTTATGTGTTATACGCCGACATAGCGCCAATATTTTATAATAGTTTATGCCATATATGAGAGCGTATTGAAATTTTACAAAATGTTATTTTTTAAAAATTCTCTCTTTATATCCGCCTCCTTTACGCGATGAAAATTTAGCTGGTGCTGCAGTTACGTTACGTTTTTACAATTCCACAGTGATATGCGTCAATAAACGCAGTGGCAGCAGCTGGCCACGCTTACTGAAAGTGCTGGAGCACCGAAAAGTATGTTGTGAAAAGTGAAAAATATGTAAAGCTGCCTGAGCTTTATAAATGGAACGTGGCGGCTGTGAATTCTTGTAGAAATTTTTTCGTATATAAAAATTTTTTATAACAAAAAACACTTGTTAAACTTTACGTTTACCTTTCTGCTTGGCAGGTGCGGAAAACTTTCGACATAAATGCTTATGTATGCGTGGCAACCTGTGTGGAAATATGTCTGCATAAGGTGAGTGCACATAAAAATGCAGTGCAATTCGCTTATGCTATGCTATGTTCGATTCCTCTACAGTGTCTGTGTGTTGGTTTTTGCAATCGTAACGCCTGCAATTCGATTGTTATTGAAATTGTTTAACGTTTATACGTTTTTATCTACATTTCTTTGATGCATTCGTACCGCTTTATAACCACACTTTGCACATGCATTGACTGCGCTCTTATGTGCCTGTGGGTGTACTTCCTGCATACTGTTGCTCCGCCAACTGATTGCTCGTCGTGAAAATTACAGCTTAAATGGCGCAATTGATAGCGCTGAGCGTTTTATAGCATGCTTTCAGGGGCAGTAATGTCTGCTAGCGCACATACACTGAAGAATACTTAAAAACAAGAGAGAATTGTTCATTTCGGTTGTACTGCAGCTGGAATACCCTTCAAAAATAAAGAAGTCTTCACACAATAACTTGATTTTGATTGATCAGTTCGTATCGCAGCTATATGATATAGTGAACCGATTTGAAATTTTTTTCCACAGATTGTAGCATTGCCAAGGAAAATATTGTATGCCAAATTTGGTGAAGATATCTCGTTAAATTAAAAAGTTTTCCATATAAGCTTTGGACTCCGCTGGTTTGGTTTGTATGACAGCTATATGCTATAGTAGTCCGATCTGTAAGTTTTTTTCATATGCTTTTGTGTTGTTAATAATATTATCCTATGCCAAATTTCATGATGATATCTTGTTAAATAAAGAAGTTTTTTTATACAAGAACTTCGTTTGGATTGGTAAGTTTGTATACGTTATAGTGGTCCGATCTTGAACATTTTTGTTTTCTTATGTTTTAGCATTCCGTAGAATGATATCCCAAGCCCAATTTCTTGAAGATATGTTGTAAAATAAAAAAAGTTGTTTATATAAGGACTTGAATGGGATTGATCCCGTCTGATCCAAAATGCTAACCTCTTCTTGAGGAGGAAAGGATATGTGGAATATTTTAGAGCGATATCTCAAAATTAGGTGCATGTATATGCAGATAGATGAGGAACAGACGAACTTGGCTAAATCGACTCAAATTGTCAATCGTTTTTATATGGTCTCCGACGTTTCGTTCTGACTGTTACAAAACTTTGTGGCAAATTTAATATACTCTGTTCGGGGTATAAAGATAATCACAAGCACACTTACACACACACATCGACAACACCGCAAAACGGATATGTTTTCTCAATTTATTTCAATTTCAACATCATTTCAAACTAAATCTTGATGAACTTAAGCACCTATTGTCTTAAACGAGCTTTTATGCATTGCAAGTAAAAATTAAAGCAAAAAATTACACCTCGCTAATTTAAATGCATGAAAATGTTTTTGATGTTTTTTTTTTCTTGTAAAATTTTATGTTAGTATGGAAAATTACACTTACTTGCACCTCCGAATGTGAAATCGCCTATGAGTTTTCGTTTTAGTTTATTGGGGATATCATTTATTTTGAATTGTTGTTGTTGTTAGTCCATGATAGCGAGCGATGAATGAAAGAACACAAAAACAAAATGGGAACAGAGAGAAAGAGAAATTGATTTGAGTAGCTAGAACACGTTCAAAAATATCGCAAAATTTTCAAAACTTCAAACACAAAAGCTTTTTTTTTTGGTAAAAAAACGAAGTAACAAAAAAGTTCACACAACGCCAGGTAACAAAGAAACAACAAAAACTAATATTAAATACAATAAAAAATTTGTTAGAAAAATCCTTTAAAAGACAGCATGTTTATAAGTAAGAGGGTTGAAAAGAGAAGAAGAAGAAGAAACAAATGCATTCATTAATGACATTTCAAAGCGAATTGGTTTAATAAATGGCAGAGCTTTAAAAAGCTCTTTCAAAAATACAAATATACATGTTATATACAATACTTATGATATATAAAATGTATTTGTACAAATGAGCATTGATATGTGGCTGAAACAGCTTTTACATTAATTAAATTATAGCGGCAGCTTTCGGAGCTTTAACTTATTAAAAAATTTCTCAAAGCTTTTTGGACATATTTTTTTGAAATATTCAAAACCTTTATCTACTGTAAGATTATTGCTAATGTTCAAGTTGTCATGAGAGCTTTCATAGTTCAAAAACTCCAAAGTTTTTTACACAGTTTGTTGATATATTCAAAACCAGAATCTACAAACCTACTAAGAAATTGTGGTAACTGATCAGTTAACCATCTTCTATTAAAATAAGCATTTATGCGAGCTTTCATAATTCAATTGATCCAAACGTTACATAAGTAATTTCTATATATATTCATATATTGAAACCTAAATCTTAAAGTCTACTGCGAGATTGTTCTACTTATATTCAATTACTTAAAGATTTCTTGTGAGCTTTCATGATCCAAAGTTTGTTTTCATAGTTTATAAATTTTCAAATTTTACATAATTTCTCAATATATTGAAAACTAAATCTTCTGTAAGATTGTGCTACTCATGTTCGATTACTTAAAGCTTTAATGTGAGCTTACAGGATTCAACGTTTATTTTCATACTTACTAAATTTCTTAGTACGTACAAAGCACAAATCTACAAATCTACTGTGAAATTGTGGAACTTAATTATGTTTTATTAAGTTAAGCTTTCCAGTGAGCTTTCATTATTAAAATGTTTCAAAGTTTGTTTTAGGCTCGTTATTTATTTATAGCCTTAGTGTACAAATCTACTGGAACAATGATTTTATTTTAATATTTTGTTGCTCAAAGCTTTCATGTGAGATTTTATAATCCAAAGAATTTTTTCATAGCATTTAAATTGTTTAATACATATCTACAAAACTAGTATGAATTTGTGGTAATTAATAATGTCCTATTAAATTAAGCTTTCCTGTGAGCTTTCATTATTCAAACGTTTTTTAGTTTCACAAAATAGTACTCTTAAATAAAAAAATTTTCAAAATTCTTAAGACTAATTTCAATTTTTCACCTTCGACAAAATTTCTTTAAGAACGTGAAAGCTTGCACGAAAGCTCTAAGGATTTCTCAGATTCATAAAAAAGATTTCAAGTAGTTTTAAAAAGTTTCTATTAAAACTTTCAAATAAGCTCTCAACTTAGATAACTTATACATATTTTCTTCACCTAAAAGCTAACCTTTATAATGGTTCCTAAAATTTTCTTCTTTAATTACTTATTTACTTTTTTTAACTTTATGCTTTGTGTATTTATTTTTCGGTCCTCTTATTTATTATACTCGTAAAATTTTATATATGGCTTTTTTACTTACTTGTCTCACCAGTGGTACAAGTCTCTGGTTTCGATGGCGGTCCACGTCCAATCGTATTTACCGCTATCACATAGAATTCATATTCGGTATATGGACTTAAAGCTCGCACAACATAAAACATCGTTATGATGCCGCTAATTTCGCTAAAAGCCTGTGATGTGTAGGTGAGGAAAATTATTAATTAATATCATATATGATTTTGAAACTGATATATAAAGGTTAAGGTTTAAACTAAAAATTAACTAAATTTGTATTACAGAGCGTGCAATGATAAAATATGTTTTAAAAAAAAAATTTTACAAAAAAAAAAAAAAAAAAAAACAAAACATGTTTTTGAATTAGCAGTTTTTTTGATTGAGCGCGTTTTGGAATTTCAGAGCTTTTATTGAAAAGCTAAAACTATTATTAAATTAAGAGCGCTTTTCAAAATTTTGGTCGACGGCATATGTTTGTATGAATATCTAATCTTTAAAAAAAGAAGTAAAGTACAAAGCTTTAAGCTTCGTTGTTGGAGTGAGTTTAGTGATAGTTCTTCGGACGTCTTTTTATTCACAATTTAATTCCAATTACAATTTCTTGAATGAAAGCTTTTTTGAAATTCGAGTTTTTCACTAAAAACCTAAAACTGTTATTGAATTAAGAACGCCGTTTTGAAATTTTGGTCGAAAGCTCGATGGCTTATGTTAGTATGAATATCTAAATCACGTGTTTTGATTGTACAAAAATTTAAAGTAGAAAGCTTTAAACATAGCTGTTGAAGTAAGTTTAGTGAAAGCTCATGGGACGTTCGTTTATTCACTATTTAATTCCAACTTACCTGATTTGCATTTTTTGGTTTGTACTGTATCACATAGTATTGCAAGTCTTCGGGTCCTTTGTAAGACCATTCCAAGCGAACTGATGTTGCCCCTTTCTCTGAGATTTGCACGTCCGTTGGTGCAGCTGGAAGTGCTGTACGAAAATAAAAATAAAAAAGCAAGTTTAACTTAGAATCACAGAGCTTTTTTGCAATATTATATTATATAACAAATAACACAAAAGCTTTCGCAGAACTTACATTGAACTTTCACCATCGCCGTCGCTTCAATTTGCCCCAAAGACGATGCCGCAATGCACGTGAAATTCGCGCTCTGTTGTATGTTTGTTAATTGTAGTATATTACGACCGATTGGAATATCGTTTTCGGGTGTTAAATCTTGTGCGCCTGAAAGCGGGTCACATTTTTTTTTTTAAATATATTGTTTAAAAGTTTTTTATTTATTTTTATTCAATTAAAAATATTTTACTTATTTTTAGTAAGCATAAACGCTTCTCTTACCTTTCATCCATTTCACATGGGGCATTGGTGAGCCCACAGCAATGCAGGATAAATTCAAATTCGCTCCCAGCATCACCTCGTTAATGGGCTCTGGTGGACGTGAAAAAGTGGGCGGCACACGTCGTACTTTCACATATAAGTTCGTTGCTTTCGAGTGTTCTGTGCCAACTGAATTCTCAGCGACACATTCGTATTTGCCTTGATCCTCTTCACGACTATTTTCGATTTGTAAGCCACCTAAAAGTAGATAATAGTAAAAAGAAAGTACGGTAAGTTCGATTTTTAGGTTATAAGAAATTGAGTTTGTAACTTATAAATGCGTCTTTATGGTTAGAAGTACTGTAGAACAGGTATCAATCAAGTCAATGTTGCCATAATTTTGTCAAACTCCTTCAGCCACATTAAGCACCATTAACAGCTAATCGAAATTCTTAACGCAGATTGCATCCCTTAACGCGACTTCAACCCGAACCGTGAGTATGTGCCATTGTATATACTACATACTTAAGTTTGTGTGAAGATGAAGGTATGTGAAAATTGATGCCTATTTCCATTTCTCAGCACATCTGCAAAGCTTTTCAGGGCTATCAGTCACTCTCCCCCCTCAAAGCTTTCCAATAGAGAGCAAATAATAAATAACAAATTTTTATGTTTCAATATTGACTCAAGAAGAGTCATAAATATGCCCGAGAGTGAAGTGGAGAAACAGAGCGTGTGAGAGGGAAACTCGCACTGCCATTAAATTATTTTAACGATCTTACAACAACAACTGACTTTAAGGCCATAAAAAAGTAAAACAGCGCTGCCATTATTTTTATGGACTTAAAGTGTGGAGGATGAGATATTTATGTCTATTTTTCCGCAGCTCTTCGAATTGCGGATTTTTATACATGTATGCGTGTGTGTGTGAGGTTGAAATGTGTTTAGGTGAGTGTGAAATCTTTTAACGACATATAATATTTATGGCATAATCATTATTTTATTAAAGCAGTAATTTGAAGCTAATATGAAAAACATAAAACAAAATTGTGTTTTATATATGAAGATGTACATTATTTAAGGTGGTCCTTAAAAATGTAAAAAATAGTTATTTTTAACTTTTTAGAAAGCTAATACGAAGAAACATGACTTTTTTAATTTTTGTATAATATATATGCGAACGTATATGCGTTAAGGGGGTCCTTAAAAAAAAGTATCTTTTGATATTTATTTAAATTTGCACATTAAGGTCGTCCCTATATAATAAAATTTTGCGAAGTGTTTACTATAGTAATTTATGACCAAACATAAATGATAAATATGCATATAAATATGAGGGTGGTCCTAAAGATATCAATCAAGCAATACTCAATTTTATCTGTGCAACTAGGCATTTAATGCAGTAATATGGCACAGTTACCAAGAAACTGAAGTAAAAATATTTTTTTGTGCATAAAAAATGAAAAAAAAAACAGTGTTCAGTTTTTCAACTTTTTTTGAATGGCTAATAAAAGAACGTTCAATAAAAAATGTAAAAAAAGCTTTTGATATTTAAATTTACACATTACGGCCACCGTTAAATAACGAAAAAAATTTTTTTCAGTTTTACACGCTTTTTACAGTAAATTGTTGCTTATGTGACTAAAGATTAATAATCGAAATATTTTTTAATATGCATATAAGCATAAAGGTGGCTCTTAAAAGGCAAATAACCGATCCGATAAAGCTGAAAATGCACTTAGTGCAGTAATAATGAGCTATCACGAATATATGTATAAATATAAAATAAATGTTTTCACGAAAAAATTCACGCATTAGGGTGGTTCTGAAAACATTAAATTAATGCGTTTTTCAGTCTTACGATGATGTTTAAGGTGTAGTCAATGCCAATATGAATAAATATGAAATTTGTATACGTTAAGGTGGTCCGAAAATAATTATAGGCATATGTTCTCACTTTTATGATCCACTTAAAGCACTAATTGGAAGGTAGTATTAACAAACATAGCTAGAAATATATATGTATGTATATGTTTGCAAATACACATTAAGGTGGCACTTAATTAAAGGAAACATTTTATTACGACGCTTTTAATGCAAATATTCTGATGTAGTATGCATAAAGCGAAGTTTAATTAAGAGCTTTTAACAAAATTAAGTCATTAAGGTAGTTCTTAAAGTCGCGGCCGCTTAATCAATACCAATACCTTCAAAGCACAAATATTTATTACATATTAAGGTGGGTCTTAAATACTCAAATAACGTAAGATTTATTCCTATTCAAGTTCATACTAAAATAATAAAATTGCAAATATTTTAAAGCATAATTTCCGTCGGATTTAATGTTTTGTATTAAAGAGAGAATTTATGAAGTGGAAATTGATGAAGCCAATAGGGTAAAATATTAAATAAATAATTCATGCATATATTATAAAATGAGAATTATGCAGGAAATAGTTTAAAGAGTCAATAAGAAAGCAGCAAGCCGAAATAGAGAGCTCTCTCTACACTGCCGCTTTGGGGAAAATCTAATAAATTGGCAGCAATTTGTAGACCGCAAGAAATTTTCGCGTTTTTTTCTTATCAAAAAGTGAACGCAGATCTAAATATATATATCAAGCATACATATACACATACAAACATACATATACACAGCGTGTGCCATCTTCTTTACACTACTGACTATAATTTGTGCGGCATGAAATATTTAATAAATATTGCCGCACTTGTGGCCTTCTGCCTTGTCGCCTACACACTGCTCTGTACTCATCTGTATGTGTGTGTGTGTGTATTAAATACTTTTTGCCAACATAAAGTGTGGTCAATATTGGCCGAGTCGACCGCAATATTGGCAATTTATGGCAAAAATATGTGATCAAATAACTTGAAAATGGACCGCCAATGCACAGCTGCTAAGTGTGACCACCAACTACGCATAAATGCGTTGCGTTGAAATAGAGCGGCACACGCACACATCGTAAAAATATTAATGAAGTTAAAGTGAATTTTTGTCTTGCTGAAGAGCAAAACATACATTTGGGCGTTAAAGCGTAGTTTTGCGGGCGCACATTGTGTGGAACTTATTTGAAAATGTTGACTTTGGCAATTATGCGAATTTCATGATTTTCAGTATTATGCCAAAGTGTTGACAGCATAAATATTTATGACTTTACTTAAATTGAAATTTGTGGAAATTTGGGTTATTTTTCTCTCTATTAAAGTATTTAAAGTATTCAGGAATATTATTATGTATAGACATATTTTTCCAAAAAAATATTAATTAGGATCGATCATCTGGATTTCTGTGGAATGATATTTCCAAGGTCAGTAGTATGACAGTAGTTTTTGTAAAGCAATTCGGAATCAAGGAAATTCAAAATTAATCGACGATTATTAAGTTTGATTTCTGTAAGTAAATATTTTTGCAAACTATCTAAAAAATTTCTCACAAAATTCACAAAAAAAAATCATTTTTTTTTCAACTTGTAAGTGGATATATTCCCTTAACTTACTTAAGCGTAATCGGGGAAAGAAATTTATAGGAATCTAGATAGTTTCTTTTATCTTCTTATACATTTATTTGTTGTTAGGCATAGGTATCATAGGCATCATCGAAAAATATATCAGTTATTGCGATCTTCCAACTTTTTCTCACCATTTTGTAGTGCGACGGATCACTTTCGTTGATTTCTTTTAAGCGACTTTAAGAGATCTGAGTTTAGGAAAAAGTCGCTTAGATCAAGTCAGCAACCCTTTTTCGTCAAAAACATATTTGATTGACAAAGTAATCTTAACATGAGGAGAAGATTTGGAAATCACGAAATATTTATAGAATTAAATATGCAAAATTTAAGATTTATTTAAGAATTTTTGTCATTTGCATTTTGTGTAGATATTTGTGTACTCAAATCACATTTATTTTTGAATGCTTTTGAATATATTTTATTACTAATTACATATATGGGAAAGCATAAGTTTTTATTTTATTTTGTTTTTAGACTTCATAGAAAATATGAATAGAATACAAAAAAGTGCATCTTCAAATTAATTTATGAGTCGTACAAATTTTTTCGAAAAAATATCTCTAAACCTTGCACTAATGCATTTATACGTTATAAAATGGAAGCAACCGAATAAAAGGAAAATAAAAAGGATCTGTTAATGTTAATGAGAGAGCTGCGACTCATAAAACTTATTACATGATTTGTTAAGAATGCGAAAATAACTGAAGTACATACTATATGTCAAAACATAGTTAAGAAAGAAATAGTTTAATTTTTGTTGCTGTTGTAGTACTAGGAAACATTTTCTAAATTAAATTTAAAGCGATGATAGCCCTTGGCTTGAGATAAATAGAACATTTCTGGCATATTCTTATGATTTTAACTCATGGGTAGATAAACATCTTAAGGGGCACATCTAATGGCAAATTCTTAAAAAAAAATTTCAAGTTAATTTTTCAACAACAAAATAAATTCAACATCAATATCTCAAATGGTTTATGAGTTAGAACTTTTTCAAGCGCTTAGTTCAATCAATTCAGTCATCTTAATGAGTTTATTTCTAAATGCATTTTACTCTAAATAGCAGTTTTCGAAGTTGTTGTTGTAATCAGAGACAAATAAGGCGATCACTACCAGTTTCTTTATGTAACTTCTGTATACTATAGTTCACCAACCACTTTTGAACTGATTAAAAATCGAATTTTAGCAGTCTAATATGTAACTTCAAAATTTTGGACAACAAAAAAAAAAAAAATTTTATGTAAAATCAAAAATTTTATGAAAAAT